AGTGTGACACAACACAGGGGGTGCCCTCAGTGTGACACAACACAGGGAGTGCCCTCAGTGTGAAGGCAGGTAATTTGTCCCCAGAGGGACAGTACATTGGTCACCCACACCGAATACCATCTGTGAAAGGTGGGATTGAGGGCATGTATGTTTCTCCCTTATGTTGGTTCCCTCCAACAGCTGTGTCCTTCAGACCACGATCAGCATGCTGTGTGGAGCAGCTGCCAAGCCACTCTCGCTGATGGACACTGAAGTCCCCCACCCAGAGTACATTCTGGCCCCCTCAGTGTTGCGCCTACCCAGGTTGAGTTCTACATGGAGGAGCACTGCCTTATTAGGCCAGGGGAGGAAGGCACGTTACCTGGTAATCAGCAGAAGGTTGATGCTGGTTACAGGATAATTATTAGTCCTGGATACCAGGGGTACTCCATTGCACTTCTTTGAACTAATGCCCTGGGATGTTCTATGTCCACCTGAGAGGTATCTCTGACAGTGCGGCACTCCCTCAGCACTGCACTGGGAGTGTCAGCCTGGATGATAGTATCGAGCCTCAAGTTTACCTCAGGCAGAGGTCAGTATAATGTTCACTGTGTGGAGCAAGATCTGCCCATTTGTAACACCCCGACCCTCCTAACACTGAGCCTGTAGCATTCAACAATGAACAGGAGCCGAATCCCAACAGCAGGGCAGTGGGACTCTGTACAACCCACCACAATATGTCAACAACTGATTAAACAACACAGCTCACTCACTTTTCCTTGCTCCAAGCAAACCGAAGGTTTCAAGAAACGATGGTTTACACTGGATCATCGACGCCTGATGTACTACAAAGATCCTCTGGTATGTAATTCTCCAGGCAGTCCTGGTTAGAGGCTGCGGTCCCTCTCTCTTACTCAGTCTCGTGTTTTCTCACACGCTCTCTCACTCTCTCTGTATCCCCAACTCACTCTCCCTTTGTCTCTCTCACATTCTGTCACTCTCTCTGTATCCCCGACTCTCACTCTCACTTTCTCTCTCACACACACTCTCACACTCTCTCTGTATCCCCGACTCTCACTCTCCCTTTCTCTCTAACACTATCACTTTCTCTGTATCACCCTTTCACACTTTCCATCACAGTCTGTGTTCTCTCACGCCCCCACATTCTCTGTATCTCTGTCTCTCTCTCCCTCTCTCTCCCCCTTTCTGTCTCACTCTCACACTGTCTCTGTATCACCCTATCACACTAAATCTCAAATAGGCTGTACCTCTGTCTCTCACTCTTTCTCTCACAGTCGCATTCTCATACTCAGTTTGTCTCAATCGACATGAATCAATCTCACACTTACTGCCCCAATCTTTCTCTTGTATTCTGTTTTCCATTTGCTTGCCATCTCTGACCTCGTGACGCGCTCTCACATTCTCTTTGCTCACTCTATCAATCTTTGTCTCCCTTCTGTCTTTCTCACCGTGACTATTTCCCTCAAAGCCAGTCTTTTCATTGGACTGTCCCTGTTTAGCAATGGTGGAGGGGTGGATGCAAACGGCTTTGAAATGGTCTCAAAGCAGCTGTTGGTAGCATTTCGCCAGGCCCTAATGACACACTGGGGAAATTAGCACAAGGCGTTGGTGCAGGAAGCAGGTGAGATCAAGGTTCTGGGGAATGGGGACAGACTGGAAAGAGTTAACAAGGCCAGAGATAACACAGTGTGGAGTTGGAGGAACACAGCAGGCTAGACAGCATCAGAGGAGCAGGAAAGCTGATGTTTCGGGTCGGGACTCTTGAGTGGCAGATCGAGACCAACCGGGCTGAATGGCCTCTTCTGGGCCAGTGCACTTTATCATGCAACTGAAGCAAGCAAATTGAGGTTTTACAGTAATTCAAATGGTGAGACGGGCGAATGGTGAGGTTTGGCTCTGTACAGAAAAGGATGTTGTGTGGGTTTCTGCATTGTGTATGCGAGGCTGAGTTTAGAGCTGTCACATTGCACGATTCAGGGGAGGTGATAGCCTTGGTGTGTTATTGCTGGACTGTTAATCCTGAGACCCAAGTCATGTTCTAGAGACCTGGGCTCAAGTCCCACCATGATAGATGCTGGAATCTGAATTAATACAAATCTGGAATTAAGAGTCTAACGATGACCATGAATCCATTGTCAATTGTTGGGAAAAACCCATCTGGTTCACTAATGTCCTTTAGGGAAGGAAACTGCCATCCTTACCTGGTCTGGCCTACATGTGACTCCAGACCCACAGCAATGTGGTTGACTCTTAAACTGCCCTCTGGGTAATTAGGGATGGGCAATAAATGCTGGCCTAGGCAGTAACACACATGTTCCATGAATGAATTCCCTATTTGAAAAAAAGTCTCCATGCATTATGTCCTGAGATCAGGAACGTCAGTGAGGAACCAGTCAAATTCCGGGGTATTGTATTCAGTACTGAGCAGTACACTTACAGTCATAGAGCTGTACAGCATGGAAACAGACCCTTCAGTCCAACCTGTCCATGCTGACCAGATATCCTCAATTAATCTAGCCTCATTTGCCAGCATTTGGCCCATATCCCTCTAAACCCTTTCTATTCATATACCCGTCCAGGTGCCTTTTAAATGTTGTAATTGTACCAGCCTCCACCACTTCCTCTGGCAGCTCATTCCATACATGCACCACCCTCTGTGTGAAAAAGTGCCTCCTAAGGTCCCTTTTAAATCTTTCCCCTCTGACCTTAAACATATGCCCTCAAGTTTTGGACTCCCCTACCCTGGGGAAAAGACTTTGGCTATTCACCCTATCCAAGACCCTCATGATTTTATAAACCTCTATAAGGTCACTCCTTGTCCTCCGATGCTCCAGGGAGGATAGCCCCAGCCTATTTAGCCTCTCCCTATAGATCAAACCCTCCAACCCTGGCAACATCCTTGTAAATCTTTTCTAAATCCTTTCAAGTTTCACTTCAGGAAGGATGCAGAAACCTTGGAGAGGGTGGGCGGGGGGTCGGGGGAGGGGAGATTAACCAGAATGGTCTCAGGGAAGAGGCAATTCTGTTACATGGCAAGACTCTGGAAGCTGGGCGTCTTCAGTTTGGTGGGGACAGGCTGAAGGGGAAATTGGACAAAAGCCATTCGAAATCACAAAGGTATAGTAGACAGGAAGAGACTGCTTACAGTGCCTGAATGGTCAGAACAGATGGAAGGTTATTGACAAAGGATCAAGGCAGGCAGATAACAGAATTATTTTTACCCAGCCCAGTTGTGAAGTTGTGGAATACACAGCCAGAAAGGCCAGTGGAAGGCAATCCAGCGGTGACTCTGAAACTGGGTATTGTATCATTGTGTCGAAGGGGGTTCATCTGAAAGGCCATGGGGAAAGAGTGGGGACAGTGGGTGGTAGGACTAATTGGATAAAAGGGGAAGTGTGAGCTCCTAAAACCTCCTGTCACCGGCGTGAGACAGTATTCATGGGCCGCTGTGTGTGAAATCTCTGCAGGATGCATTTGCCAAGGGTGAAGTCTTCGTTGGCAGCAGTGATAACGGGTACCTGGTCAAAGAGGGTCTTTGCCCTGGTGCCCAGAGCAGTCCAGGATGGCAGTATGGCATCACTGTAGTAACACCAGACCGGGACTTCCTGTTCACGTGTGAGAAAGAAAGCGAGCAGCAAGAGTGGATAGCAGCCTTCAACAGTGTGATCAGTCAAGAGATGTCACCCCAGGAATATACAAGTACGTTTCCCCCACTCGCTTCCCCAGCGCATCCTAACATGCTCCTTAACCCCTACCCTCTCATTAATCCCCACGGTGTGGAAGCAGGCTGTTTGGTCCATCAAGTCCACACTGACCCACCAAAGAGTGTCCCACCTAGACCCACCCCCACCTTTATCCCTGTAGTGCTGCATTCCCCATGGCTGATCCCCCTCTACGCTGCATATCCCCAAACACTATGGACAATTTAGCATTGGCCAATTTACCCTAACCTGCACACATTTGCACCCACAGCAAACCCACACAGACAGTCACCCGAGGGTGGAATTGAACCCAGGTCCCTGGCACTGTGAGGCAGCAGTGCTAACCACTGAGCCACCGTGCCAACCCTCTTTACACCTCCCCCCCGTCCCAACCTCTCTTTAACCCATGCCCTCTCTTTACCCCACCCTGTCTTTAACCCCGTCCTTTCTTCAACCCACCCTCTCTTTAACCCCCCTTTTTTCCCCCCCCCCCTCTTTAAATCCCCTTCTCTTTAACCCCCCTTTTTAACCCCTCCTCTCTCTTTAACCCCCCCCTTAACCTCCCTTCTCTTTACCCCTGCCCTCTCTTTAACCCTCACCCTCTGTTTAACCCTATTTTCTCCTTACCTCTGCCTTCTCCTTGACCCATTTCCTCTCTTTAAAACACCTCCCCAAGTCTAACATTGACTCTGGATGGTCACTTTCTGAGGGAGGTTCATTAGGACAGAGGGGGTGGGGGTTGAAGGAAGGGTGGTGGGGGGTGCAGGAGGACAAAGAAATGATTGTGTGGGGTTCTTCCTCAGTTGAGTTCATGATTTCCTTTTCCTTTTCAGTGGAAGCCAACTTCAAACACAGACGATAAAGCGCTAAAAAAGCTGACCTCCAACCTTTCACTTCTGACCTCAGCTTTACAGACAAGACACAACACAAAGTCATTGCTATGGTGCTGGAAGATGAGAAACTTCCCATGTTTACTAGCAACTCAGTTTATTACCGATGAGAGTGCGAGGCATTTCCCCTGTGATCTTGGCTCCATCCACTGGCAGCAGGCCTCTGGAAATGTTCTAGAACAGAAGCACAGTGTACATCGCTCAGCCACGTTGAGGGGTGCGGTTCCAGCATGGATTTGAGCTGACTCACCTTCAGGGATTGAACAGACAATGCAGGAACCAACTTGGACGAAACACAAACATTCCACTGTCTATTGGACAGAGAGCTTATGGCTCTACCGTCCTGTCGAGGAGATCGACATGCCAAGGGACTCTCTGATAATCCCACCACAGTGACACAAATACTCAGCAGAACACTTTGTCCATTGGGACTAATTTAGGGACATAATAGATTGGAAACAGGGAAAAACTAGAATAATGGAAGGACATTCTTTTGCCGATAAGCTGAGGCATATTTGTAAGGACAGTGCAGAGGGAGCTTTACTCTGTATCTAACCCTGTGCTGTCCCTGTCCTGGGAGTGTTTGACTGGGACAGTGTAGAGGGAGCTTTACTCTGTATCTAACCCCGTGCTGTCCCTGTCCTGGGGAGTATTTGATGGGGACAGTGTAGAGGGAGCTTTACTCTGTATCTAACCCCATGCTGTCTCTGTCCTGGGGAGTGTTTGATGGGGGACAGTGTAGAGGGAGCATTGCTTTGGATCTAACAGTACAACCAAGCTGGGTGCAAGTTGACCTGTTGTACAAAGAACAAAAAAAATTACAGGACAGGAACAGGCCCTTCGGCCTTCCAAGCCTGTGCCATTGTCTTGTACATTGTCCCCCACTTTGAGTGTTTGTCACACGCTCCCCCCCCAAGCTGCGCTCCTTTGTTTGTCGCACAGCCAGTGGGCCATTGAGCCTGGGTGTGTCCTCCTGCCGTTGCATGTTGTGTATTTCTGTGGCTTCTGTGATGTGTTGGTAGTTAGCTCAGTTGGGCTGGATGGCTGGTTTGTAAAGGCAGAGCGATGCCAATGGCATGAGTTCAAACCCTACACTGGCTAAGCTTACCGTGTCTCACCCCTCACTAGGGGCCTGGTGACCCTCAGGTTAAACCACCTCCAGTTATCTCTCTTATTAGAGAGTAAGACAATGGCAGCTGTATGTTTTTGGTTTTGCGAGGATCTGCACTGTAGTCGTTGCTCACCAGGGGATGTTGTGGATCACCTTGACTCTAACCCTATCATTTATAATCACCAATTGACCCTAGGTCCTTTAATCCCTCACAGAAGAGCCTAGGGTGCCATTAGTCTGGATGCTTAAACTAGAAGTGTGTTTGTTTCCCCAATACTGGCATTCCCTCTCTCTCCTTGATCAATGGCAACATCTACCAAGTGTCGTATTTCTGATCATCCCTGTCACCATTCACAAATTTCTCAAGCAACCCCCAAAAGTGGGTGTCCTTCAGGCAGCCACAGGGATACCTCAGGTGGCCAAGCTCAGGAGAAATGCTGTTCTCTGAACGGTCAACACCCTTCATGAAAACATTAACTGCTTCTTTAGAATATTTCAAATGTTCAATTAAAAACAAAATCTCCCACCAACCTCCATGGAGAAAAAGAAACAGAACGGTAATGAGTTTTATTTTAAGGGTGACACTGTCAATGCAACCAATTTACACCATCCAATATAAAATGGTGCCGAAGTCAAACAATATTTACACAGTGCACGGTTAGGTTCCGGAATAGAGTCCCCGAGACTGTATACGAGACAGATTCAATCAGAAGGGAGTTGGATTATTAACTAAAAGGGAAAGAGGTACAGTGGAAAAGTCAGGCAAGTGGCATTAGGGGAATTACTCTTGTCGAGAGCTGGCATGGCCAAAATGGGCCAAATAGCCTTTGTCTCCATGTAAACATTCTATGATTCACTCGTGAGTTTCCCCTGGTGTTTTCCTGCAATATCCTCCTACTCACAAAATTACACCCAGCTGACCTCCCACTGGATATCACAGTTAAACTCAATGATGGAGACCAGCATTCTGGTCCAGTTCTGAAGGGGCGCTGGACCCGAAATGTTAACTCTAATTTCTCTCCAGAGATACTGAGTTTTTTCAGCAATTTCTGATTTCCAGCATCCAGAGTTTTTTCAGTTTATTGACCAGTCCTCTGGTTCTGGATTTAGTGACAGCTCCTAAGCTTTTAACGGGGCCTCAGTTCTTTTTTGTTGAAACCTTCAAACTTCTGGAACGCTCTCTATCCGGAGTGTTCTCGATTCCTGTGGAAACAAACTCTGAGGCCCTTCAGCCCCTCATCTCCCTCCTGAACCAGAAGGTCTTGGGATCAGATCTGGAAGTGATAATCCGGTGAAGCGCTGCACTGTTGGAGATGCCGTCTCTGAGGTGAAATGTTACACAGGGGCTGATTATACCCTTTCTGGTGGAGGGACAAGACCCACCCCCCACTCCCCACCCCCGGCCAGTATTGGGGAGGGGAACAGGGGTGTGCCCCAGGGTCAGTGGTCATCCCTCAACCAACACGATGAGAAACAAGGCCGACTGTTCGTTATCACATCGCAGTTTGTAGGAGCTGGCTGTATGACCTGGCTCCATACAGATCACAGAAGGAGGCTGCTGTGTCTGAGATGGCTGTTCAAATTAGCACCCTAACATAACACCATTCTCGAGCCTCATCCCCTACACCCTTGCACATCGTTTCTATCGAAATATTTGCCCAAAAAGCCCTCTAATGTCTGAATTGAACCTGCCTCCAGCACACTTCCAGACCCATACATTACAGCAGGGAAGACACTTCAAAACATATGTCGTTGTGAAGTACTTTGAGGGCAACTTGAAAGTGCTATAAAAATGTAACTCCTTCCTAGTCTTTTCTCCAGTAGCCATCGAGTGGGCCTCAGTTTAGCTGCCCTTCTCAGCCCTACCTACAGCAGTAGAGGCAGGCTCTTGGTGGTTGTGATCAGCAGTGATCTCCCCCAGTAAAACCAAGGGCAGTGAGACCAACTGGTTAGATCGCTGTTGGAAAGCAGTGAGGACTGGATCAAGCGATCCCTTCGGCACCAAACGATCTTTCCGAACTCCGAACAAAAGATCGTCGATTCTCTCGACCACATTGCGCGCTTCAAACAAAAAAAGAATTAAACTGGAAAGAGGCCCTTCAGCCCATCCTGCCTGTACCAGCTGTGAAGCATCAAATCTGCACTAATCCCATTTCCCAGCGTTTGGCCCTCAGACTTGCGCGCTATATGCAGATGTGATGTATGTCACTGTTAACATAGAAACTGCTCAAGACTCTGAGCAGAAGAATTTGCAAAGAAATTGTTATTGGAGTTCCTGAGGCCAGGTGAACCAACAGCTTGATGAAAGAGTTGGAGTGTTAGGAAGATTCACCCTTAAAGCAGGGAGAGAGGGAGGCGGAGAGATTTAGGGAGGGCATTCCAGAGGTTAAGCCCCAAGCACATGCTGGCACAGCTGACAAATACAGAGCATTTAAAATTGGGAGACATAGACCTGTACAGCATGGAAACAGACCCTTCTGTCCAACTCATCCATGCCGACTAGATATCCTAAATTAACCTAGTCCCATTTGCCAGCATTTGGTCCATATCCCTGTAAACCCTTCCTATTCCAGGTGCCTTTTAAATGTTGTAATTGTACCAGCCTCCACCACTTC